ATAGTACTGCGAAGTTCCACAGACCTTGTGTGCGTGTGTGGGTGTGTGTTTGTTTGCTATATGTTGGGGTATTCATGTGGGAAGACAGACATACAGACGACATGAACAAATAGGCAGGGGTTGCACGCGAAGAGCTCCAAACAGACAGAATCGGGTAGATCTTTGGGGGGGGATACCATATATATATATATATATATATATTTTTATAGCACATGTTTTGACGTTTATAGGTTTGGATACCGGGCAGGGTTTTTATTGGCTGGGATCAAGTTTAGCTGTTTCATTCACTTTGCAGTTGCAGAGTTGAATACATATGTATAGTTGCAACTATGTCTGCCTGCCGTACCTCCAAACTCTGAAACCGTGTCGACCACCTTCGTGCGTCCAGGGTCTTCTGCATGTCTTAGCAAACACTCAAAATTTGGTTGCTCAGGGTACAGTCGCACAGTGGCGCCCTGCACCTTGATCAAGAGGTCCTCAAGCCTATAATCCTTGCGGTCTCCACGGCTTCCCATTGTCGGGTCTCTTTTATGGTTACTGGTAAGTCAAAGTTTGATATTATATGGGGAATGGACCTCTTGCAGTCCCTCAGCGGAGAGGGTTTTGGATTCTCTCGGTTTGTGCACTGTAACCACCTCCGCGCAGGCACTCGGGCTTCTTGCCAATCTCGCAGCTCGGCTTGTATTACCGGGGTGTGAACAATTCATTAAAGTTGTTCCATAGGGCTCCTTAGTGCAATTACAGCATAGCATTATGCCATTTTTAATTACACCGAAACCGAAACCCTATTCTGCTTATTTACCCCTATATCGCTACTTCTCACGTGTGTGCTTGCAGAGTATTGTGGTGGTTCATAGAAGTCTACAAGATGTCTACATATGTGTTTTAGTGTAGTATATGGATGTATGTATCCTGAGATATGAGAACATTTATATGTATATACCATATATATATATATATATACATATTTACATACATACTTACATACATACATACATACATACATACATTCACCTACTACATTGCGCTTTCTCAACAATGTGGTTTGCGGGCAGCAACCCGGTAGCAAAGCTTGAATCCCAAGGCAACAGAGTGCAGTCCAGTGTGTCATGTGTACGATGTGAGTTTGAAATCTTCGCCTTATGCCCGAAATCCAACAGACCTAAACCCTCAAGTAATGGGACATCTTCGCCTTAACCTTTAAGCGCTAAACAGCTAGCTCATAGTCTTGGGTATCTTAGTTTAGATTTCTTAGGTTCTGAGAGTTTCGATTGCGGTTTCAGGAGGCATCCGGATCACCAGCAAATCTTCGGGGGTGACTTTGCGTTGTCCACGTTTTCGGGTTGAAGGCTTTTCTCCCTGGACCAGCAAGGCTTGTCCCCACATCTTCAACCCTAAACCCTAAAACAAGTAAACACACTAAGCCCAAAGCCGGAGGCATCGCGGACCTACTTCATCACGATGGAGAATCCAGTGTGCGCTGTGCGGCGCGCTGCCTAGAGTTCGTCGGTTTGTGGCTCAGGATGTAGGGGCCTCGCCCATTCGAATAGGGTCCTAAGTACCTAATCTTAAAGTAGAAGCAGGGCTTTCTATGTTTGGAACTGCTATGGTGGTCGGGTTAAGTATCCCCCATATCCCCCAAAACCCTAAACTCTTTGGATTCCGTTATCTTCTTGAGCAGCTGATGTTTTGTGATTTCGGTAAAACGTTTTGAGGTATTGGGTGGTTTCTGGGCTATCCTGAGGATGATGCTGGTTTCAATTTCGTATGGCATAAGCATGCATAAACCCAAGTAGATTCTTAACCTCCAACTTGCGTTTTGGGTGCAAAGGGCTTAATGTAGGGGCCCAAATATTTAGAATAGGGCGTTGGAGTGTGTTATACTAGAAATATGAGACCGGACCCCCAACATACAATAGGTAATTATTTAGGCCCCTACATTAGAGTCTTAGACTTGCGGGGTTTCAGAGCTGACTGGGGTTTAGGGCTCTTCAGCAGGTAGTGTTGCCCGTACGTACGTACGCACGTCCGTATGCATGCAGGCATGTAGTATGTAGCTATGTATTTATGTACGCATGGATGCATGCTTGCATGCATGCTGCATGCACGCATGAATGCTTGAGTAGACGCACCTCTGTGTGGGCGCATGCATGCATGTACGCAAGTATTTATGTATGTATGTATGTATGTATGTATGTATGTATGCATGTATGTATGTATGCATGCATGCATGCATGCATGCATGCATGCATGCATGTATGTATATGT